CTGTTTTGGTAATATGACTACTCTGCTGTTGCTTCACATCATTTCTGAACCACAGGGAGGTTTGTTGTAAAGCAGCTACAGGAAATGAACAATTTTCAGGTCATCTGGGCTGTGTGAAATGGTTCACTGCAGACTACTAGAGTGCACTGTAGTGTCCGATTGACCGCTTCAGGGCGGAGCGGGATAGTATTTCAATATAAAGTGAACAATGCACATAAACAGTTGAGTAAAATCTGGGAGGATTTATTGATACAAACTGTTTGGATCAAAGCCCAGTTAAACAACCTGGAGTATGAGCAGTGAGAAAATACAAATGACGAGTGTCTGCTTTTCCCTCACTGCAGAGTCTAGGGATCAATGAAGTATATACTGTATAATTAACCATATATAATCACAACTAAGTGTATCTATAAGAGGCTTAATTGAAATGACTCAGCGCTACAGCAGATATTAAAATGACAAAAATAGGTTTTTATGCCTGGAAGTTATTTTGCAGAGCCAGGTGTTACATCACGACCTCAACGATAAGGAACAATCTGTAGAGTTTTCAAAAACGTCATTCTTTGATATTTTTTGCTACCCCGTGTTTTAATACAATAACACTTCTGTTATTTTAATGACCGATAGTATCAAAAAGTAAAAGCTTTTAAAAAAACTTCAGATCTTCAGTCATATTTTTGCCAAAAGCTGCAGCGAGCTGAAATTACATTATCCAATTTGAGGTATTGAAACAGATATTAGTATGGTTTGATTTTTACTAGAATCATATGTAAGGTTAGAAATCTAGCATTGTGACAAACACTAGAATATATTGACCTGTGATAAATTGTCTGCAGAGAAGTTTATAAAGATGACTTTTTAAGAAACTGCGCTAACATTTAGTGTAACGTTGTCAAAAGAGAAGCAGTGGAGCCTGAAATATCCTCAACAGCAAGTTCAGTAAAGTATTTAAAAAAAGGAACAGCGATCAAACTTGTCAGACAGGACGGAGGGAGGGAGGGAGGGAGCAGAAGGAGAAAAATAACACCTCTCTGTGTCTCTGTCCGTGTTTTTCTGCATCACACAACAACACCCCCTCTGGTGCTTCTTTCAGCCTCACTCTGCTCACCTTTCTTGAACTGAACACAAAACCTTTTCTCTTGCATTTCCTCTGCAGCAGGTGTGAAAACGATCTCACAGAATGTGGCATCAATAACACGTCTATTTCAGCTCCCACAATGCATTCTGAGTTAGCATCTATCCCGGGACTCACAAGAATAATCGGATCCATTTTTCAGTTTCAGTCCGCATGAACAGTAAGGCCAACAGTTTATTTGATTATTGATTCATCTATTGACTATTTTATATCCATTAGACAGCATTACTTTAATTGAGATAAAGGTTATATCATGGTTGTCTTTGCTTTTAGTAACATTGGGAAAAGAAATAGTCAGAACCTGTTCAAAACATACTCAAAGAAATATTTTGTAAAACTCCAAATTCTAGAGAAACATCTGGTTATGCTGCTCGGTCTGACAGGATGATCACACGTTTTAGATTTTCTTTCACTGTGAAAAAAAAAACAACCTCTTTGCAACACTGCAATGTGTTTGCAACGATAGAAAAGCTTCAACCTGCTGTGAGCTGTTTCAGTTTGCAGGAAGTGTTACAGGTTAGAGACTACTATAATAAATGGGAAATAAAGCGACTTCACTATTGGTGTACTTGCAATACAAGTGTGCAATATTAACCTGAAAAACAAAAAACAGTGTAATTATATAATGTGAAAAATATGTGTGCAATAACCTCAGGCGCAATAAGAGACAAGAAAACATCTTTATATTTTCATTTCATTGTACAGTGTTCCCCTTTGTTTTATTTTTTTTCTTATAATGCTATTCTATTTTATATATAATTTAAACTTTTTTTGTAGAAGCTGACTCAGGGAGAAACGCACAAAAATCCCAATGTACCTGTACTGTCCTATACGTGTGCAAATGGCAATAAACATCTATTCTATTCTCCGACTAGGACTACATGTCCAATCAAAGAAATAAACCTAAAAGAAATAAACCTAAAGGACTTAAATGTTGCCTCTTTGGTGTGGTTCTTTTACACACAGGAATATTTACAGGAATATTCTAAATATCTTCCTTCTCCAGGGCAGAAAAAAAAAATTGAGAACCCCTGCACTAATGTACTTTAGCATCCTGTTTTCAGAGGAAACGCATCAATTAGGAGTAAATGGTGTTTCATGAGGTCTTGGTGAGTTCAGAGTAAAAGTTTAATGGATGCACGTCAATCAAATTAAGATATCAGAACGATACGCTGATTATCTCAGAAATGGGTTTGCATCATTTAAGCTGGATGAAAACCAGTTTTCAGATCTGGAAGATTATTTGCAGTTAACACTAGGGATGGTCATCTCCTGTCATTTCAATATTCATGACCTCGTAAACGAGTACTCGATTACTTGCAAATTATATTTTTTTAACTCTAACCAAAAAATACCTCTGACACGGACATCCTGTACTCACTGCTCAGCAGATTCTTTTAGGTGGTCCGTTATAAAATAGAATAGAATTACTTTGTTGATCCCAAACTGGGAAATTGTGGCGTTACAACAGCAGGTTATCAAACACACAATATTAGCAAATAAACACAACAGAATATTAAATACAAAGTAAATAAGCACTAAAAATATAAAAACTAAGAATGAGAATATATACATCCAGGATTTAACTTAGCATTACTTCTAGTCATAAATATGAAAGATTAAATACAATTTACGGAGCTGTCCAGAGCTGTGCAATCAGTGATGCATAAGTTAAAGTGCAGGAGTGTAGACATATTATCAGTAGAGACTATTCAATATAACGGCAAGTAGGCAGACAAATGAAGTGAACTTGAGTGCAGGGATAATTTGTAAATGTATGTTCTCTGCTGGTGTGCCACTCATCATAGTGTGTGTGTGTGGGGGACAGCGGTCGTTCTGAGTGAAATGACGGTGATGGTAACGTTTGACTCTGTACTGAGAGCTGTCCATGAGACTGTAGTAACAGACAATTCTGCTAGTGTCAACTTGCTGAAGCCTTATCCTTCCACAAACTAAATGAGAGGATATCTCTGCTCCCCATTTTCATTATTAGCAGGCTAATCTTCCTTGCTCTGGTATCATCCCAATGATGCGTGCTAACAGAGAGAGCAAATGATGTGAAGTGAGACTGTTGTATGAGTTTGTGTTTATTTATTTTATTTGTATCATTAGTTCAGACCCACTGCATATGAGAGGAGATAAAAGGCTGTGGCCTTGCTGTTTATTTATCATACGTGTGAGGGACATTATAGCCATCATTTAAGACAGAAGACCCTGCCCTTAACCACAGACTCTAAATATTATTGTATGAAGCCTGAGTGATGTCATCCATCTGTTACAGCAGGGAGCTCCGGAGGCTCATCAGCAGCAGCCGCCATGTTGGAAATCCTGTCTCAGTCTAACTTTCAGTCAACCTAACAACAGACTGAGAGCTGGAGCTGAGGCGGGTTTTAAGCCTCTTGACAGACCGTTACATCACGCCCACCTGTCAATCAAGTCAGCTGGGCCTTTCTATAGATAACACGTATCGTAACTAATCAGACATATTTGGTGTTTGTACCAGGATGTAAACATGTTTATTTATGCTGTAAAAACAGCTTTTTTTGCCTGTTATGTGTTTGTGATTTCCAGTGTTCCTGGAGCCATCCTCAAACGGACCCTCGACAAACTGCAGGATTTTGCACTTCCACATTAGCTTAGAGTTATCGCTTGCCTTTAAAGGCTTTATATGTGATTTTTTGGTCCAGCAGATGTCGCCCTTGAGCACCAGCATGAAACCAAAACAACTTGCGCTGCATTGTTGTGTTAGCATGCTAATGCTAGCGATCATTATTATGCTCGTATCTTCTTCGTACCTGAAATAAATGTGATCTAGAAACACAGTTAAGCAGTGAGTACAGTATGTTATTCTTCTTTTCTCTAGTCCCTCAATTAAACAACTTTTATCAGTGAGGGGAGGAGCCGGCCGGCCGTCCCGGCGATGTAAACAAAGTGAAGATAGGACTCTGAAAACTCTGAAAACATCACAGACAGTGGGACTCGGGTGTTACACCCATTGTAGACAGTCATGACTCACAGAGTTATTTTCAGAGGAGATACTTGATTTCTATTATATTTAAGTGTGAAAAATATAAAGCCTTTAACGTGGCCTCTCATCACCGTGGGTATGTACTCCTCCATCTCAAAAAGAGAACTTTGTGTTTGGTGGACTAAGACTGTTAAAGAGACTCTGTGCCTGAACTGTTTAAATGCTTTTTGAAAAACAAAACAAATGTAGTGTTTTAAATAAATTGCTGTTCTGCAAAGATTCCAAGCTGCTTGCTATTTTGAACAAAACTTCACAACAGTACTTTCAGCTTTCCACCCAAAAAGGTGACGTCAGAGGAACACAGTGGCTGTGTGTGATTACTTGTGGATTTGGGATTCACAATGGCCTTTTATCACAGCCAGCATTTACAGTGTTTTATCATGATGCACTGTGCTGCAATTACACATCAGAACATTTAATTCCTATCTTTGTCTGCATCCTTCCTCATCCCTCCCTGCATAATTCATCCAGCATGGCCGCTGTCACGCTTCCTCTCCCCGCCGTTCTCTCAATGACACACTGGACTACATGAATGAACAAACACAACAGGCTGTGGATCCCTCAAGGACAGACACACACACACACGCGCGCACGCACGCGCACACACACAAAACCACTTAGAGCACTTCCGTAACCTGATAGTGTCAGACAGAATGAGTCAGGAGATCAGCTGATACAACCAAATGCATCACAACGTGTTCACAGACTCTCTTGGTGCTCTGCACGTGTGTGTGTGTGTGTGCGTGTGTGTCAGAATGCACAGGTGTATTCATTGCAATCTTGTTTGTAGTTTTCGGCACATAACGTAATTTGAAGGTGTGGGTGTGTGCTGTGTACCGTCTTGGGGCAGTGGACGTATCTCGCCAGGCTGATGATCAGGTCGTGCGTGATGGGGTCGACCAGGTTTCTGAAGCTGGCATAGCGATACAACACGTCATCCAGAGACGTCGACTCCATGCCCAGGTCCTAAAACACACACACAAACACATCACACACACATTGATTGAGAACATAATATCCTCACTAACACAATTGTACACACTGTCCTTATAGGAAAGGGAACACTCGTTCTATTTATAGAACACATTTCTTTCACATGAGGGAAATGCAGTGGCGGTTCTAGACCACTTTTACTGAGGGGGCCAAACTGGGGCCAGTTGTTTTGTCAAAGGGGAACATTAAACCCAGGTGAAAAATAGACAAAGATGATCGCTTAAAAAAAAAAAAATAATAATAATATATATATATATATATATATATATATATATATATATACAGTATTGTGCAAACGTTTTAGGCAGGTGTGAAAAAATGCTGTAAACTAAGAATGCTTTCAAAAATATAAATAATGATTGTTTATTTTTATCAATTTACAAAATGCAAAGTGAGCGAACAAAAGAAAAATCGAAATCACATCAATATTTGGTGTTACTACCCTTTGCCTTCAAACCAGCATCAATTCTTATAGGTACACTTACAAAAAGTCAGGGATTTTATAGGATTGTAGTCAGGTGTGTGATCAACCAATTATACCAAACAGGTGCTAATGCTCATCAATGTCACATGTAGGTTGAAACACAGTCATTAACTGAAACAGAAACAGCTGTGTAGGAGGCTTAAAACTGGGTGAGGAACAGCCAAACTCTGCTGCCAAGGTGAGGTTATGGAAGACAGTTTCCTGTCACAGGTCATACACTATGACAAGACTGAGCACAGCAACAAGACACAAGGTAGTTATACTGCATCAGCAAGGTCTCTCCCAGACAAATATTTCAAAGCAGACTGGTGTTTCAAGATGTGCTGTTCAAGCTCTTTTGAAAAAGTAGGAACATTGAGGATCGTAGACGCAGTGGTTGGCCAAGGAAACTTAATGCAGCAGATGAAAAACACATCAAACTTATTTCCCTTCGAAATCGGAAGATGTCCAGCAGTGCCATCAGCTCTGAACTGGCAGAAACCAGTGGGACCCAGGCACACCCATCTACTGTCCGGAGAAGTCTGGCCGGAAGTGGTCTTCATGGAAGAGTTGCAGCCAAAAAGCCATACCTCCGACATGGAAACAAGGCCAAGCGACTTAACTATGCACGAAAACATAGGGACTGGGGTGCAGAAAAATGGCAGCAGGTGCTCTGGACTGATGAGTCAACATTGGAAATATTTGGCTGTAGCAGAAGGCAGGTTGTTCGCCGAAGGGCTGGAGAGCGGTACAATGTCTGCAGGCAACAGTGAAGCATGGTGGAGGTTCCTTGCAAGTTTGGGGCTGCATTTCTGCAAATGGAGTTGGAGATTTGGTCAGGATTAATGGTATCCTCAATGCTGAGAAATACAGGCAGATACTTATTCATCATGCAATACTATCAGGGAGGCGTATAATTGGCCCCAAATTTATTCTGCAGCAGGACAACGACCCCAAACATACAGCCAAGGTCATTAAGAACTATCTTCAGCGTAAAGAAGAACAAGAAGTCCTGGAAGTGATGGCATTGCCCCCTCAGAGCCCTGATCTCAACATCGAGTGTGTCTGGGATTACATGAAGAGACAGAAGGATTTGAGGAAGCCTACATCCACAGAAGATCTGTGGTTAATTCTCCAAGATGTTTGGAACAACCTACCAGCCGAGTTCCTTCAAAAACGGTGTGCAAGTGTACCTAGAAGAATTGATGCTGTCTTGAAGGCAAAGGGTGGTCACACCAAATATTGATTTGATTTAGATTTCTCTTCTGTTCATTCACTGCATTTTATCTTAATTGATAAAAATAAACTATTAACACTTCCATTTTTGAAAGCATTCTTAGTTTACAGCATTTTTTCATACCTGCCTAAAACTTTTGCACAGTACTGTATATATATTATGCCAAATAATAGTGCACATCATTAAATACCAGGATTTTTATTTGTTTCAGTAGCAGTATTTAATACTAGATTGTGAGTCCAATTGTTGAGTTAAATACTGTGTATGTGTTATGAGGGGGGCTTCCTTTAGGAGGGGTGGCCACAGGGGGGACCAAGCTCAGTGTTACAGGGGCACTGGCCCCTGTTGGCCCCTGCCTAGAACCGCCCATGGGGAAACTCGATGTATTTTTCACTAAAGCAGGAAAAGACAGGTTGTCATCAGTGGATCAAATGTAAAACATACCATTATCACAAACACTACATGTGGTTTTAAAAAAGACAGAATCATTTATTTTTCTCTTCATTTTCTTCACATATTATAACATCATCTCACTATTGTTTGTGTTACGTATATCTTTAGACTCTACTAATTGAAGATGTTACCATCGACTAAATTCCCCTTTCAAACAGACAAACATTTGGACTAAACAGAAATTTAATTTTAGACTAATTGGTCAGTAACTACATTCATCAAGTAGTAACGGTGTATATGACAGTGTAGCTAGCACGGCTAACCATAATAGACATGTTCATTAACAACCGTTTTTCAATTTCAAAGATGGGATGCTGCAGACAAAAAAAATGATATTTGATTATTAAAAAATCAAACAACATGATGTTTTTTTTTTTGTTTTCATTAACAAGACAAAACGGGCTAAAATGTACTGTAGGCGACTGAAAGTGGAGGGTAGGCGGACATACACACAATCAATGATATTTCTCCTACTGTGTCTAATCTGTCTGTCAACATACGAGCAGGAGAGAATGGAGGTGTGTGTGTGGAGAAGTGACAACAACTGTTAACAAGCTAATGATAACCTGACCAATCAATGAGCGACTAAGGTCAGTATGGAAACATTAAATAAGGGACATTGAAATGCTTAGACTAAGGTTAAATCTAAATCTAGCTAACAAAATTTACACTTGAGAGCTGAACCATCAACCAGACGTTTAGCACCACCTAGTGGTGGGTTGCTGAGTTACAGCTTAGACACGACATTTGCTGCATTGAGGCCCTACAATAAAACAAATATAAATAATTCATTATACCAACTAAATTCTGGTCCTGACTGGTGAGGGCGTGTCATTTAATCATTTAGTGATCTAATTGTGCACATCCCTTTAGTGCACTATTTTTCTTCTGTCGACTCCAGCAGTGTGTCTCGATACGATAAGCTAATCTGTGATCTGTCTTTTGATTTCAATGGCCAACATTAAAAACACATTTTGGTCAAACTTTTAAATTAGAATCAAAATTGTGCCAACACTTTTCTCTCATATGGACTATTTGTTTTTTCTTTTTGAGCAAATAAATATAAGTAGGAATTCCTTCAGGCCCACAGGAATGCACACATACATGCACTCCCTTGTGGGTACGTGCAGGGTTTTCATATTCTACATGCTGCTTTGTAAACTCTCTGAACCTTAAAGCATCAAATTAAAGCCTGTTGCATCGCGTCCCGCTGCCTGACAGTCTGCCTGCTTGTGAGGGGAAATCAAACATTTGTCACATCACATGCTACATCGAAGGCAACGACGCATAAACCTGTTGGCAGCTTCAAGCGTGACGAGCGGTCCTGTTAAATCTCAAAAAGTCGACTCGAGTGACAACTCTGCTTAAAAACACAGAGACAGGAGAGGATTAGGGGGCAGGAGTTTGAGGTATTCTGAGGGATGTCACAAAATTGCAGTCACAGACTCCAACACAGGGCTGAATCTGAATATTTAGACTTAATATTCTGTTTGGGATTAATTTCTAAAGTCTTAAGCAGAACTAAAGCTGTTCCTTCACATCATGGTATAATGCAAAGATTGTTTTTAAAAAACCTGTTCTTAAAGTCGTTGGGAGGGCAACAGAAGATAAAGTTTGTCCTGAATTTGGGAGAAGAAAAAAGCTCACAGACTCTCTTGGTGCTTATTTTACAAAAATCTGTCAATTAGATTATTATAAGTAATCCTGATATACTCCTCAGATGTCTGGGAGACACTAAAAGTATTTGCAATTTGCTAAGTAGATAAAAACATTTCTGAAATACAAGTAGTTAAAATGCTAATGTGTTTAGCGAGAGCTGACCATATTTGGAGCAGAGGGCGGGGCAAGTAGGGATGTACACAACTAGATGAATTAAACATTTTTATTTCTGTTGTAGAGTTAGACATTCAGATATGGAGCCTAATGTGGATTTTTGACTATTGCAGCCTGCCTCAAGTGGACGCTTCAACCCTGCTTTGTTGCCCCTTGTCCAAATTGAGTCTCTTCTGGTTTCCTTAAAACAAAGATGAGGACAGCCAAAAATCCAAACTTCAAAACCCGGGGGGCTATGATCATGGGCGTAACAGTTTAAAAGAGTCATCTTTTTTTATATGTACTGGTTGCATTTGGCGGATGTCATTCCCTACTCTCTCTCTCCTTGATTTCTGACTCTATCCACTGTCAAAACACCCAAAAATAAATCTTAAAAATTACAAAAAAAGGTTTCTGGACAGAAGTTTGCTACAAAAGTTTTTGGATTATGAGCAGGAGTTTGGCTGCTATCTCTGACTGACTCATTCTTCTCTTAAAATGTATTACTTTTAAATTAAAAATAGTATTCTTTTTGAATGTCTTGTATGGGAAAATATAATATAAAGGAGGAAAATATGGATGACCTTAAATCTTTTAAAGGTGATTTGTGTAATGGAGTTCTGGTTATAGTAATATCTCAGGGGTTGACTGAGACTGTGGTGGAGGGGCCAAATGGGATATCTGTTCATGGGGCCCAGAAAATCCTCAGACACTCTGGTTACAACCACTATTTTCATCCAGTAAATGATACAAAAACACACACACACACACACACACACACACACACACACACACACACACATAGCCAGGTGTAATAGAAGCTTGGTAAAAGGATGTGAATTGAGTCAATACCTCAGTGCTGTCTGCTCTGGTACACAATGTATAATGGGTCTGCTTTTGTATCTACACTGTTTGTGCTGCTAATGCCGCTGAGCTTGAAACACTCTGTGAGCCACTGCAGGTAAGTGGAGGCTCATATAGTGCCTGCAGATATATTTTTGGGTTTGG